TCCAAAGACCGGAAGCCGGCTAACAGGAGCCGAAGAACAGCCACGCGAGCGTCATTGGCGTTAGTGACGAGGCCACTGGAACAGCGGAAGGCCGTCAAGCGGTCCAAAAAGCCAAAAATCCCCTTTAGAGATGGGAAGCAAACAAATGAGAAGACAAGCACGAACCGGATGAGGAAAGAGGTTGGGGTGAAACCGGGCTGGGCGGTGGAAAAGCGGCTTGCGTGATCTGCATAGAGCCATTCTCCACCCCGAGGGCCAGTGAGCGATATGTTTGCCCCCCTTGACAGATAGCAAAGAGGCAGTTGTCCCCTGGCGCTGCCCCTGGCGCCCCCGTAGGATTGATATACGAGGCCTCTGCGTAATCGTGAACAGCAGCGCTACGAGGTTGAAAAGAGAGAAAATGAAGGAAATTATGTATGTTGGGACACATTAGTAACATGTGCAATGTAATGGAATTAAAAAAAAAACGCATATGAGGTCCGTGCTAATACTTCAACTTGTCAGAGCTCTGGTCTTTCGATTGCCCCCACCCGTGACGGGGTGGGTTCAACTCGCTTAAGGTGCTCACCGTTTGTTCTTGACGGACATGGTTTGCGGTCGGTGGCAGCGGTCGCGCCAAAGTTTAAGGGACGTCACATAGCAGGACGGCCCGCGCCGTGTCTTGCGGCACGTTAAACTTTCGCCACTAAATTATACCGCTGACCTAAAATTGCACGATCGTTGGTGGATTTGCTCACACAATAAGCACTGCTTAGCGTGGGCTCGAATTTTATAAAGCCATATATTTGAAAATGGTTCGGACTGAATCTTCAAAAGGCGCAAGAGTGTCTTGAATTAAAGGTCCTTGGCCGACTGAAGAGGGATGAGGATGACCACCTAAAGATTTCTTTTATGCTATATTTTTCGATTCCAAGCGACATATATATATACACATATATGCATATATATATATATATATATATATATATATATATATATATATATACATATGTGTGTGTGTGTATATATATATATGTATATAGCAATTCTAAGCGATATGTTGCTTGAAGTCATTGACAAAAAATAATTCTAGGAGCATTATTCTAGAAAATGATTTCCTCTTACTTTTCTTTTTTGAATTAATAACACTTCTTATATCTAAATCATTCATTTTACAGCATACCTGTAAAATTCTTAAGAAGTTATGGAACCAAAGGATGCAAGCCGTATTGCGTATGTGTATAATTGACAATGATACACAAAACACTGGCCCAATCACTCAGGAGCAATGTTGGTGCCCACCAGTCCGGTCGGCCACTGCCGAAATACTCACAGAAAGCGATTCCAGTCCGGTCGGCCACTGCCGAAATACTCACAGAAAGCCATTCCAGTCCGGTCGGCCACTGCCGAAATACTCACAGAAAGCCATTCCAGTCCGGTCGGCCACTGCCGAAATACTCACAGAAAGCCATTCCAGTCCGGTCGGCCACTGCCAAAATACTCCAGAAAGCCATTCCAGTCCGGTCGGCCACTGCCGAAATACTCACAGAAAGCCATTCCAGTCCGGTCGGTCACTGCCGAAATACTCACAGAAAGCCATTCCAGCCCGGTCGCCACTGCCGAAATATTCGCAGAAAGCCATTCCAGTCCGGTCGGCCACTGCCGAAATATTCACAGAAAGCCACTCCACTTACAAGTTTTAAGACCATACAATGTTTCAAGACTGAAAATACACGTATGTACTTATATGTACTCATTTCAGGACGTTTCTGCAATATTTGCCTATAACTAAACAAGTTATGAAGTTCTAATTTTTTTGCTTTGGCCTCAGGCTGGCCTCAGCCAGCGCAGTGGCCTCTAGGAACTCAACAAATTAGCCAGGCACACATCATCCTTAGGGCTTTCCCACGCATTCAGTTGCTGAGGCCATTTAGCATCGCCGGCGTCTCAACCTGGCAGGGAGGGCGGGCACCGCGGGAAATCGAACTCCGTACTTCTGGTATCCCAGGTGCGCATCTTCACCACTACATTATCGGCATGCTCGCACGGGTAGCAATTGGATGCACGTAAAGATGCTAAAAATTTCGGTTGGCTTCGCTCCGCCGTTTATTTGTTTTGTTTTGCCCTTGTTTCTGCTAAGCCCAAAAACATTACGCGGGACGCACTTCCGTGACTTCTGCCGAGCCCGGCTCAGACCCTGTCTACATTTCAAATAGAAACTTAATCAAACCAAAACTGTTGAAAACACGATCTTGTAAAGACATAATGATACTGAATTAAAATATACCTACAACGAATGTCACCAAGTTATATTTTCGATTGCCACAATGGTGCGCTAATGGGTAAAAAAAGTGTTATCACGTCATCATGTCATGCACTTACAAACGAATGTTTCAAGGTGTGCAATAAACAGAAAAGATCCCGCAGAATTGGAAGGGAGTGTAGCTATTTGCGTCCAAGAGCTACAGCAACAACACCATGGTGAAAGTGGTAATGACACGTGATGGCATCGATGAGAGCGCACGAAAGTAGCAGCCGCACCTGAAGAATGAAGAGCATTACGTTCTAGTACGTATGCTAGAAATCAACATCAGATTTCAGCCTTCCTGTAAAAAGTTGTGTTATTAAGATGTTGCAGGTACGAGATTGCTCCAGTCACCTCCTAATCCAGCTTTACACGCAAGGCCCGGAATACACTGCATGTGCCCGGCCACTATAGCCGAATATCAACATGTATCTTTTTTGAAGTTTCTAGTGACATTGAACTAGAATCTGGGCTAATGTTATCATACCAATGTGAAGAAGCTTCATTTTGGTAAAGGTTGGGAATGGGGGAGGATGCCGTAATGAAAACTCTGTGAGAAGAGCAATTTTCTCCTGTAAGAAAATTGTTAGGATATAAAGGGACTACTGCCCCCCCCCCCCCCATGCGAAGATAGGCGGGGACGCGTCACCCGCACCCAGCCCCCCTTGTCCCCTGCGGCGCCGCCCGTTCATCGTCGTATAGCTCAAGTAACAAGAGCAAGTTGAAATTGAAGTCTATAATTTTCAACGTGAGACTTCGGGTGCCGTTCCGACTCCCACCCGCTGCTACTGTGAGCACAGGTGACCTATACAAGCTCTTCGACAGTGGAATTTCTGCAGTGCATGTGGTCCCTACAGAGGAGATGGAAGGGAAATCGTGTGAAGCAGCGTGCTTCAGTGGGCTGTGATTATAGGTAGTAACAGTGTACGAAACGGGACGGAAAAATCCCGAGTTTCGTTTTACCTCTACCGGGAAACCGGGAAACATCGGGACCGGGAAACAGACCAGACCTTTACCGGGAAACAGACCAGATCGTTTTGAATGCCAGTTAGCGAGTCGTAGCGGACGTTGACCTTGCATGACCTTTGTACCACATACATGCATGATAGAGGGAACAAGAGAGACAGGACCATGGCGTCTGTACACATGCTCTGTCTACAGGCATTATTTACAGGAGCTCGTCGCGATGGTTTCAGATCCAACAGCCGACCGTGCATTTGTCGTTAGGTTGACTTGTAAGCGGCATGACATCACGTCCGAATCCTCCCGAACCTGTGGACCTGCCATCACTTGGGTGGCTTGAGATGCGCATCATTCGTGCCTTCTGCGCTACTCTTGCGCCGGATACCCGCAGGGAATGGAGTTCCGTCCTTGAAGCAGAGACGGCTCAGAATTGCTTTGACTGCAAGGCATCTAGTGGGCGCGACCGCATCATTGATGCATTTTACGATGCGGAAAGGGTCCGGACGACAATTATCCTCCGGGTTCCTAACCATGCGATTAACAACCGGTTCATTGGTGAGGGCGTGACGAAAAAGCTGCAACGGCAATGGCCTTTTAAATGGCATCGCACGCGGCAGCAGCGGTGATTGGCGTTGGGCCTCGCTCGACTGCCCCTGCCGGCCGGACCAGACCGGGTCTGGCGCCGCGGGTCGGGTCCGCCCGCGGTGACACGTTACAGATCTCGTCCGCTTGCGGGTCGTTTCCCCAATCTCCCGTCCCAGCAGCGCGGCAGCGGCCGCGCCGCCGCGCCTCTCCGGCGCGCCGGCCGCCGGCTCGGCTCCGGACGCGGCGCCGCCCGGCCCGAAGCCAGAGCCGGTGCTCCGGCCGGGGATCAGACCGGCGCCCGGCCGCGCCGTGCCGGCGCACGCGGCGCAACAGGCAAGTCGCTGTGCAGGAGACCGCCGCGTATCAGTGCCGCCGCGTCTGCAAGGTCGCCACGCTATCGTGCGCGAGTGAGGACTCCGCCCCCGTCCTCCGAGGACTCCCGTTCGCCGAGAGCCCCAGCTGACGGCCGCGCGGCCCGCCTGAACCCCGCGGCGGTAGCGGCGTGAAAGTTGCGGCGGTGAACGGCGCGCGCGTGGGCCGCCGGCCAGCTGGGCGGACTGCGACAGCGGACCCGGACCGGAGCGGAGCGCGACGGCGTGCTTACCGCCGGTCGATATTTCAAGCCCGTTGCTATTGATTTGCAAACGTGCAGTGTGCCGTCGTGACCGGCGGGCTTGTGGTCGCCGTGGTCGCAGCCGTCGGGCACGGGTGGCGCTTCGCCCAGCTGCGGCGCGGTCAGTCCGCCGGCGGCGCGGACGGGTCCAGTTTTTAGTGGGCCGGGCGGTAGCCCGCACAGGGCCAGTTTCCCGCCTTTGACGCCGGCGCCGGGCTTCCGCGGCGAGGCTGCGTCGCGCCGTCATGTTCGAGCCGGAGGAGGAGCACTGCGCGCGGCGGAGGCCGATGCTGGCTCAGTTCGGAGACACGATGCGGCTCTCGTCCGTCGGCGAGGAGTGCGAGGAGTTGCCGTGCGCGTGCTGCGGCGAGGACGCGTGCTGCGCCGACCTGCGGCAGCGCTCGCTGGACATCTCGGACACGGAGAGCGGCGGCCGGGAGACGGGCGTCGAAGGCCCGGCCGGCGCCGCCGCCGACGCCACCGACCTGCGACTGATGGCACCGCCCAGCGCCGAGCCCGGCGCCCAGCGGCGCCGCTCTCTCGGCGAGCCGCACGTGCTGGCCTGGCGCAGCTCGGCGCTGGAGGAGCCGGCGCTGGAGGAGCCGGTACGACCGCGCGTCCTCAGTACGGGCAGCTTCGGGCTGCGCGCGCTACGTGGCTTTCTGCAGCGGCGGCGGGTGCACGGTGCCATCCGCGAGGACCCTGACCCGGAGCGGCTGCAGCTGCGCCGTTTCCGCCAGGCGGCCGAGAAAATTCGCGCCGAGATCCACCAGCAGCACCTGGACGAGCGGCTGCCCGAGAGCGTCGCCATGCGCGGCATGGACGAGCACACGGCGATGCGCTACCTCTACCCGTGGGCCTCGGCCGAGCTACTAGCCGTACTCGAGGACTTCGGCGTCCACCCGCGCCGAGACGACCGCTCCGAGCGCTCGTCGCTTTCCAACTTTACCGACACGTCCGGCCGGCTCACGCCCAAGCTGAAGATACCCAAGCGGCTGTCGTTCTCGCGGCCGAAGAAGCCACGCCCGGACGCCGGCCAGTTCCGGCGCAGCCCCGAGGTGCTCAATCACCAGGTGACGTACGCACCCTACACCCAGCTCACCGAGGAAGAGGTGGCGGCGGCAGCCGCTGCCGCCGCCGCTGTCACCTTCCACCTGGAGGAGCCGCCTGAGGCGCCGCCACCGCCGCCTGTGCCGGTGCAGCAGGCGCTGGTGCCGATGGTCGGTGCGTGCGCCGGCTTGGTGGCCCTCACCTCCGGCCTGTCAGCCGCCGCCGTGCCGCCAGCCGAGCCGACACCGATGCCGCCGACGTCGACGTCCCAGCCCGTAGCCAACATCGACAACAACCTGCTGCACCCGCTGCGCTCGGTGCTGACGGCCGGACAGAAACGCAAGGCCTTCAGCAGCTTCGTCCAGGTGAGGGTGACGCAGAGGAGACCCCGCTGGAGGAGGGGGGGGGGGGGGGCGCATGTGGGCGTTGATATCCGTAGTGGTCGGACGAGGACGCCAGCGTACCGGCGAGAGAACGGTGCAGCCCCACGCTGCGAAGTCACTCTTTTGCGAGGCGGCGTGAACAGATTGCATAGATTGGCCGGGCCATGTGATTTCATGACGTCAGAGGTGGGATGTGCTGACGTCAGATGCGGGCCGGACGGCGGTCAGGTCGACCCCGAAACAAGCCGCTCTTGCGTTTGTCCGGCGCTGGCCGCTGCCGAGTCCGGAGTGCTGGCCAGCGCCAGTGACACGACGCTGTTCGACCTCCCCTTGAGACGTGACAGTCGTTCTCAGGGAATAAACAGACCTCCAAAAGTCCAGGCGTGAATCCCATGCAAATGTCCAGACGTCCAAAATGGGTGCGGACTGTTTAGGTTGCCTCGAATGTGACACAATAGATCGATTAGGAAGGGCGCCGGACGGACGCCGTGTCCATGACGACAAGGCCGCGACACCCATTCGGGTTTGCCTCCGGGGAGCCGGCGTCGGCGTATGTGGCGCGCTGGCTGGCGGCGGTGCGGTCTGCTGCGCCGCCCGGTCAGCCGGCGCTGCACGACGGTGCGTTACCCGGCCCCGCTTCGGACCAAGGTCTGGCTTGACGACGGGGCCGATCGGCCAATCAACGGAGCGGGCCGGGCCAAATCCGGCCAATCCGGTGATCTGGACACGGGCCGGTGGTTTGAACTGTCCTGACACTGGCGGCGCTGGCCGAAGGACGTCAGGCAGCGACCGGGCCGCGTCCACAAGGATCACCACCCGACGGTCAAGAGACTCTGATGGCTGACGAGACTGGAGATGGCTTCTGGCCGGACGGCGCTGCCGCATGAGGTCGGCACCTCGATGGCGGACGCGCTGCTGATGTCCTGTCTCTTCTGCTGTGTCAAACAGACGGCACCACCCGCCGCGGCTGGAGACAATGGCCAGTGATGACCACCATCAAACAACGCGCAGCGCACATCGACCGTGCTGCTTGAAAGTTATGATGGGCGGTACGTTCGAAACGCCGGGCTGTTGGCAGCTTGTTTTGGTTGGAATTTTAAGATCAGGTGGAATTTGAGTTCATCAGCAGGCGTCATGGATATATAAATCATGGCCACAGAATGTCAGTAAAATTATGCAGTATAAACAGCGTTTAGTGAAGTTCAATGTCTGCTCTATATACCAACTCCAACCGAAAATGGCGGGTTATGTTCTTTCATGTGGCCATGGGTCCATCACGAGACAAGGATCACCAGCTTAATCACCAGCACCAGTTCTGCTTAACTGGAGCTACAATTTCCATCCGTGATGAACAATTACTTCTCTGTGTGGATAACAAGAAGCACTCGTCCAGGCCTGGCTTCAGAAATAAGTTGTCCAAACTGTACGGAACAGCGAGCCATTCTGCTTAGGACGGCCAGATGCCTCAAACTTCAAGCTACGGTTCATGAGATGCCTCATCCATGCGTGTAGCATTGAATGGCAACCGTCCCAACCAAAAAACTTTCCGGAAAGCGAACCACAATTCCTGAACCGTATCGCCTGTGAGTGCGTGACCGTGGACGGAATGCGGCGCATCCGAGCGGTTGCATTTCGTTTCAAGTATCCCAGTTAAACCGCGCTTGTGTCAACCCAGCGAGCGTCCAGTGTAGACTCGGCTGCGGGTTCAACCGCATACAAACACCGGTGCAGTGAAGTCATCAATCAACATTGGCTAACAAAGAGCTGCCCTGATATCAGCCGCAAACCACATCTAATGGCCTGATCCGCTCCATTCGACAGTGGTGCTCTCACACAAGGCAAACTCGCGCCATGGTATCTGTATTACATCGTGGCCACTTAACAGCGCTGCATTGTGCAGCGAGCAAGGTTGGCAACATTGCAGACTACCGGGAGCTCGATAGTGCAAGTCCCGCACGCGCCGACGAAACGAGACGAGACGTGAAGCAGAGGAACAGGAGACGAGAACGCAGGCAAACTGCGGAGACGGGAGACGAGACCAGACGGGCTGGAGACCAAACGGGCTGGAGACCAGACGGGCTGGAGACGAGACGGGCTGGAGACCAAACGGGCTGGAGACCAAACGGGCTGGAGACCAGACGGGCTGGAGACCAGACGGGCTGGAGACCAGACGGGCTGGAGACCAGACGGACTGGAGCCGGTGCGGTTTTGGCAGTGGATGGCTGGATAAACGCTCGCGCTACCACATCATCACGCCAGGCACCTGCACTCACGCCGTAGCGTTGCGTCCCACGCCGGCGACGCCGTGAGGCGCGCTGCCGTTCTCCCTACGTCCCAGCTGGCGTTCTCATCCCAGCTGCGGCATTCTCGCGTTAACTGCGGCGTTCTCACGCCAGCTGCGGCTGAGAACGCCAGCTAGGGCTGAGGGCTGGCCTTGCAAGTTGCAACCGACCGCGACAAGCGACTCACATAACCTTGCGGCTTCCTCGATGCGTAGTCGCGTTCCGCGGCGTTTTACGGCTGTTACCACGCGTGCGCCGGGGCCGACAGTCGGGTAGAAGGAACGGCTGTTGAGGGGTGATAACTCATGCCTCCCCGCGACGTACCGCCGTGCATGACTTGGCATTATGATTGCGAGTGCGGAAATGTCCAGGCATGTGTGTTGCCGATCATCTGCAACGTCGCATGCACGTGCCCTGTATGAAAAGTACGTGAAAGGCGCTGCTGGCAGGCCACCGGGCCTTGGATTGTCAGGCTCGAGTGCCAATCTCGTCTGTTGTCGTTGCAGCAGACTGAGATGTCAGCGATCATAACGGTCGCGTGTGTCTATGAATAGGTGTAACTACTGGTCGAGCCAGCGAACAGCAAACGGCGGGCCGAACAATGCAAGGTGCAGCGATGTAGAAGTTTTCTGTAGGCGACAAGGCTCGTCTGGTGTGGTGCGAGCTGATGCGACAAAACTCTGGTGAAAAGGGTCCTCGGAGTATACTGGTCCCGAACGATAAGTTATAGCAGAGTCATCGTGCAAATTTTTCTCTCGTCTCCATGAAGCGCTGACTTGCCGTGATGGACGAAGGCCTCATGTCACATTTCACTTGATGATGCATTTTAAACCGCTGCTGGTGTGAAAAGCAGTTAGTGAAGATTAAGTATGGATTTTTCTGTCTTTCCACGAAAAGGTCGCCACCCACTGGCATGAACATTAAATATTTTCAGCAGGACTCCAGCCGCCCGCTCGCCTGCTTCGCATGCATGTTTGCGGGTCCGCTTGTGCACGGGATCTTATCAAGGAAGTATCATTGCTACCAGCCGCGCATCCTAATGCCTTGTTATATAATGGGCCCGACTGCCGCGGCACGTGACCGCCTCTGTTGGTGCAGTCTAGCGAGAAATCCTCTCTATGTCCACGGACGGTCCCTGGTGGCGCAGGTCCGCCCGACTGACCTTGCTGACCACACATGTGTGAGTTTAGTAAACCGTGGCTTGGTGTCAGCCTTTTGACCCATTCCTCTGGCCTCTGACCTGATGTCTGTGACATTTCAGTGAGGGCGCAACGGTCGCTGGTTAGGCATTCTGTCCATCAAAGTCACGGGCGTTGGAACAAAAAGGGGCATGTTTCTTCTTGCGCTGCGTCACCATAGACTTGACGTCCAACGGGGAGGCGGGGGGGGGGGGGGGGTGGGGGCAGTGCTGCATCTCTTGGACTGCATATTCTCGCGGAGAAACCGCGCTGACAACACGAGACCGTCGAGCTGGCGTGTGAGTTGGCGCAGCTAAAGCCTCGCTAACTAGCCAGTGTTGATAAACGTCTAACAGCTGGCCGGGTACGTCTATCTGAGGGACGCTCGGGTACCGTACCTATCTGACGTACCGTCCCTGCCTGGGTACGTCCGCAACAGCTGGTCAGGTCACCAGGTCGGGTCATGGCCTGCGAGGGCCCGACCTCAACGGCGCCCACTAGTCGGACCTGCTCGGGCTCAGCGACGCCCAGCAGTCGGGCCTGCTCGGGCTCAACGGCGCCCACTAGTCGGGCCTGCTCGGGCTCAGCGATGCCCACCAGTCGGGCCTGCTGTCGTTTGGTGTTCGAGCGATAAGTTGGGCGTGGCTGACCACGATCACGCTGCGGTAAGCCCGCGGTAGGGTCAAGACAGCGAACAAAGGATCACCGCGCCGCCGTCGGGGGCGGGCGTCACAGCCTGCAGGGAAGCAGCACGTGAGGCAGCGTCAGGCTAGGACAATTGCGTGAGGCCCAGCGCCTGGGTTCCGACACGTTTACGGCTGGGCGTATTATAAGAGCTTGATATAGTTCATGAACAACATGTAAACTTATACAAAAGTGTGCTGTCTGCCCAGTCTCAAGTATATATAGAACTCTGAAGAGAAATAAAAATGTGCTGGTTTTTCATGTACAATAGCAGTTTTCCTGTTTCTCCTGGTGCATGATTTTGTATGCTGAAGGTCATTCGTACCATTAAGCTAGCGGACTACCCAGCGTGGTATAATTCCCTACAGGTTCACAGCTTCCTTCTCCCATCCCCAGGGTTTGAGTAGAAAGTGGGCGTAATCTGTGTAGAAACCCGTTAGCGCATTCTGGGCTGGTTTTGTCGTCTTTCACCGCTTAGCCCCCACTCCCCCTTCGGCTCATTTTCCGAAGCTGCACCCCTGTTATCCAGCTTCCGAACCTGTAAGACATGTCCCTACCCTCGTTATAATGGATAGCCAAAATGTGCGGACCGGGGGCATTGTGAGCGAACACTTTGGGAAGACATTTTTCCCCCAGCTAACAGGCAAAAATGTAGCCCGTGTAATCATTGGCCGCCACAACAATTCAAAACAGCTTATGCAAGGCGCCAGAACAGTGTCGCCAGAAACAGGAAGACCATAGCGCGCAAATGCACCTCTAGGGATCCAAGCTTGCAGATCCAAGCTGCTAATTATAAACTTGGATTTCATTAGCGTGCACCGTTCATCGACTAGCATGC